TTGATGCGGATGGGACCTTGGAGGAGGGATCGGTGCGTATTGTGGATAGCCGGGAACAGGTTTTGCGAGGCAAGACCGTACGGCTAGTGAAGGTGTTATGGCAACACCGAGGAATAGAGGAGGCGACATGGGAGCGTGAGAATACCATACGTACCAACTATCCGTTCCAACTTGAGGATGAAGGTACAAGTTTTATAATATTAAGTATAATATTATTGTTGCATATGCATGCAGTTAAGTGTGTATTCATGTGTGAATTTCGGTGATGAAATTCTTTTAAGGGGGGAGAATGTAAAACTCGGGTAAATTTAAACTTTTTTATGAAAAAAAAGGTAAAATGATAATTTGTCACTACAATACGGGTTGTAAACTTAAAATTTTTTAAAACTCGGATGACGAAACAGACCTCACTATTAGATTCGTCTCGTGAAATCTAGTTGTCCCGTCAAATTTCATCGAATTTTGAGATAGTCAAATTTTTTATGTTTTACGAGGCAGTCGAGTCTCAGATGACCCAAAAATAGAATTTTTAATAAAATTCAAAAGTTGGAAAATAATTTAAGGCAAATTAAAATAAAATTATTTTAAACTTGAACCAGGACGAAATTTAAATGTTTTGAGACGAAAACGGACCTGGGAAAAAGAGGGTTGTGTGACACGTTGTGGGCCAAGAATTCTATAAGTATAAATAAGGGGCAAAATCAAATTTCATCCCCATTTCTTCAGCCGATTCCAGCGTGAGAGAGGAAGAGAGGGAAATAGAAGATTTCTCCACATTTTCTCTAAGATCTACGGAGATTGGGTGTTCAAATCTACTTGGGCCAAGAACAAAAGTTGTTCTCCTTGCAGATGGCTACGCGATCACACCAAAAAGGACGGGTTTCACCAAAGTTCAATAATCGAGCTTGGAGAAATCAAGGGTTTTGGGTGAAATTGGGACTTTTGAAGACTTCTACCAAGTGGGTTTACGCTTCAAGAGGTAAGGTACCTTCCTACTTAGGTTTATTTACAACCTAGGATGCTTAAATGTAATGGGTAGGTTGATAGAATTATATATCACTTACCAATTTTAGTGAAATTGATAGAAATGGGTATTAGAAATGGTTTAGAATAAATTCCTATCTTGGAATTGAAATATGGTACTTACTTGTAAATTCCATGGAAATTGGTATTTATGGGCATGCTACATATTTAATTATGCCTTGGTGAATGAAGTGTGTTATTGGCATATATTATGTGATAACATGCTTGTGAATGGTTGTTAGATATGAAATATTGATATATGTTTATTGATATATTAACATTGTGATAAAGTTTGGTGATTATATGCATATGATATAATTGGGTCATGGAACATGTATATATGTGGTTAAATTTGTTCATATGACATTCATTACGTATGGGGGATGACATTGATATTGCAATGGTACATTACATTATATTTGCACGGAAGTATCTCAACCATGGGTGTGGGGGTATGGGTGCGTGCATGGTTGTCATCAACACCACACTTGGTGGATGACTGGTGGGCTTGGAAAAGTTGGGTCAAAGGCCTGGCTGAGTCACATGGTTTGCATAATAAATTGGGTTGGGGTTAGCAAGAAGAGCTAAAAGATCCCTCGGGTGCAAGACCCGGTAATTGGGGTACGCACTCCCTTGGTTTGGTCTATAAAGTGTGTGGGTGTACACAGAACCCTCGGTGAAAGTCCATAAATTCCGTGTGGGTTGGGTTACCCTTGGTGTAAGTCCATGAATACCCACCCCAAAAAAGACCCTGGATTTATAAGTGTCATTTGTTGTGCCACATAAATGATGGATTCATACACATTGGCATAACATGTGTTATGGGAGCCGGTAAGGGCTCGAATTAAAGGGCATGAGTGAATTTCATTTCATTTCATGGCATGACATGATAGAAAGTCCAACATTGAATTGCATATTCTTGTTTGGAATGATTGTCGCTTGTTAGATGTTGCACGTGAGCATTGCATATGCACTTAGGTTGGGGAGTAGCCTCGGTAGGAAATACTCTACTAGACGTGGCTCACCCTATATGGGAACACATTTCAGGTGCGGGGTTTGTACCGGCGGGAGACTCTCATTCGGGACCTCCAAGATGAAGAAAAGGCCGACTTGTGGCTTTGAATTCAGTTTTGTAAAACAGTTGTATAATTTTGTGAAAAGTATATTTTAGGCTTGTAATCATATGGAATTAATTGTAATAAAACTTGTATGTATCAAGTCTTATGTGAAAAACTATATTTTACATGTTTGAGATGTTTGTGGGAAGGTTTGGAATGAATTAGAACTGAAAAACAGGTGAAACAGACAATTCTGGACAAAACCTACCTGTAGAACGTCAAAAACCTACCAATAGATTACAGGTAGGTTACAGGTAGAACTTGTCCAGCAAGTAATACCTACCGGTAGGTTACAGGTAGAACTTGTCCAGCAGGTGAAACCTACCAGTAGATTACAGGTAGAACTTTTCCAATAAACAAAACCTACCAGTAGATCCATAACAACCTACCGATAGCCTTTCCAAAAATCTGAAATTTTAGGAATGCATTGTCATGCTTTTGGGTTATGTGTTTTATGGTTCCAAGGGTACAAATGGATATCAAATGAGCATAAATTGTAGCATATTGGACTTTGATTGGGCCAAATGGTAAAACATACACGAGTTAAACATGTGGATTATAATCCCAGTTAAGGGAAAATTATTGACGTGTTGCCTAATTGTGCGATAAATATGGGTATTTTCGCGGGTTAACAGATGGTCAACAGTTAATAAATGACCCCCCGTTTTAGGGGCGTCACAAACATATAAAGGGATACCTATATAAACTTGTGCGGGGATGGAGGCGGGAATGAACTGAAACTCGTTCCCGCCCCGTTAAGCTAAACTTGTAATATATATATACATATATATATATATATATATATACATATATATATATATATAATATCACAAAAAACACAAACCCCACCCACCCAAAAAATATTACTTTCTCTTTCCTTTTTTTTTTTTGATCTATTTGTTATATAATGGGGTTTCATTCTTTTTGCAGAACTATTTGTGAGGTTTTTTTTTGTTTTCCTTAAAATTATAGAAATTAAGAGTTATAGATAGGGCGGGTGGTGGCCTAGAGGGGACGGGGATCAAAATTTACTCACTACGGGGATTAAAATTTCCTCCACTAATGGAGGTGGACAAATATTTTTGAAGCAAGTACCGGGTGGAAACTACTCCCCCCCCCCCCCACCCAGTCCATTACCATCCCTAGGTTTAACCCAAGTTGGTCAACCGGCTCAAGTTATGCCCATACCCTCAATTGCAAGTTGAATCTGAAAGCTAGAAGTCAAGGAAATAAAGAAAAGTCAAAATCAGAGTTGGGAAATAGAAAAAAGTAGGGGGGAAAACTTTTTCATAGCTGACTCTTGTTGCCGAATCGAAGGGCTTGGCTTCATAAGTTAAGTAGGCATAGTTTAGGTCCTTAGTTGCGTTGACAAAGAAGATGAGTTAGTTAAAAGAAAATGAGCCCTTTAATTTATATGATTGTTGGTCACTCAATTCAAAATGATTCTACCATGAGGCTTAAGTGAGCCTCTCTTTTAAGGGCGGGGTTACTCCCACCCATTTAATTTCTCATTTTCAAACAACTAAACTCACCCCATCTATACCCACTCCATTAATAATTAAGTCCACCCCATTAATAGTTAACCTCACTCATTCTATGTACACTTGTTCAATGACTAAGCCCACTCTATTATGTAACTATCAATTTGTGACTAAACTTATCCTATTAATGACTAAGTCCACCACATTAACATGTTAATATATCTTTCAAATTTTGAATCATGTACTTGATGTCAGGTAAAATAGCAATATTATAAATAGAACTTGAATAATGAATATCAAATATCAAAATTAAGAGTATTATTATGCAATTGTGCATCACAATGACTAGAAAAGAAAAAAAATTATGTATTAAACTGGTAGATATCCTGACAGGTTTATTTCTTTGTCCTTCATATTCAAAATTTTTTTTTTACAATGATCAAACACTGGAGATAAAAGTAAGCAAGGGGCCATTTTCATGGATAGAAATGACTGGCATCCTTCTTCATAGGAAATTACATTAGTGAAGTTTTGTTTTTGTGCAAGGATGTCATGAATCCATATAGAACCGAGTTAACTGTTTAGTTGATAATACCACTTTAGCAAATCCATTTTTGGGAATGAAGTAAATAGTCCTCACAAAAATTCAAGATTAAAATGACAACAAATCTTGGAATGAAAATGACATATCCTCCTTCCAAAACCTTCTTGCAAAAGGTGTTTTTTATCTCTCTTTATTGAGTGCAGAAGCTGAGGATTGTAGAACTTTGAAGACCCCTTGGATAAAATTATCGACAAAAAAGATAAATCAATAGTGACCTAATATTTATGAAAACATAAAATTATTATGATTTAAAAAAAATAGAATACTTAGTTTGTGTTTAAGCTACGTCGTCAAGAATATTTACAATTATAGTTTCTTGATTATTTCCTAACAAAGTCTTAAATCTTTCTATCCACATCTAATATGGAGTAATCCACCCGTTAGCCAATTCATAATGATACTTGTGCCACATAGTTGACACAAGAGGTAAGGGAGAATCTAGTGTGAACTCAACTCTGACAAAGTGACTTGAGTTGATGTAACCACATCCGAGAATCCGATGACTTGGTTTGTAAGGTACTTGTTGACGAAGAGGAAGAAATGTAAAACACTATTGGCGTGATACATGGACTACAACAATGTTATAACAAGATGGAATAATGTGACATCCAGTGTTTCGAGTTAACATTATTATCCCAGCAGTAAATGGATTCCTCTAATTCAGTCACATGCTCTTCATCACCCAATACTTAAAAGTAATCAATGTTAAATGTTGAACTCATTTAACAAGTCTATCCGCACTTGTTTCCAACCATTAACAGATTGGTGTGAAGATTAGTTAATAACTAGCTTTGTTTGACTTTCCTCAAACGATTCAAGAACATACTCAAATCCAGATGGATTGCACTTAATTGATTCTTCTAGTGTCACAATGGTCTTCTTCACCCTCTTTTTTTTCTTCCTACCTCTTAGATCCACTTTTGTTACCGACTCAATTAAGGAAGTTGCACCAGGATTAGTCAAGGCTTGTAGGCGCTTCTTTATTTCCACTTTTTGTGTCTCAATGGACTTGAAAAACATATTCATAAGCATGTCAAGCTCCAATTCAATCACAGTCTTATGTGCATTTTCCTCTACATAGGGAGTAATAGTAAACTTTTTCCAATAACCATGCACATCTGATTATGGAATAGGTCATCCCTCTCTCATATAAGTCCAGATCATGTGAGCACATGACACTCCTAAGGTCTGACTGGCAATGTGATTACATGATCCGGGTCAATCTCGATCCAACCAATTTTTTTGGCTTCTACCTGAATCTTATCAAGTGCGGATGTGGAGACAATACCGATGAGTTCTTTGTACAACAGAGCTCTAAACCGATGTGGAGTCCTCATCAGACTATCCTCAAATGATGATTTAATCTTTGTAATTTGTAGTTCTAGCAATAGATGAATGGCATTGAAGAAATTAACAAAGCCTTGGACTGATAAATTTAGGTGCTTCTTCAACTTGGCTTGACTACTTTCAGCTCAATTAGTTGAAGTGTACCCCAAATGGAAGTATTGATCAATTCATGCTGAAAAGAACTGATGTTTATGATTTACAAGCCATGTTTCTCCAAGATACTTCAATGCATTTGGATAATCTACGAATGTAATCTCCATTTGTTGTAGACTTTCCTTGCATTCCTCTTCTGTCGATGCTCACATGACATCAGACTATGTTGCGTTAAATTTATTCCACGTCTTCTTCTTCAAAAATGAATTTATACAATTTTTCTGGACATTCTTCTCTATATGAACACGACATAATAAATTGGTTGCATCTAGGAAGACCTCCTTAACTACATTCATGAGGATGAAGTCACGATCATTCATAAGTACCCTAGAGAGCGACATATCCCCAAAAATAAATCTAAAATACCCAAGTGTCCAACAATAATTTTCTTCTTTCTGATTCCATATAAATGAATGTAGCCACAAAAGTTTTTCCTATAAAAGTCACACCCACTATCTCTAATAGTGGCAGTCAATACTTATTTGTTTTATACGTGCAATCCCTCATAAAAATAAAAAGGAAAGCCTTTGTGAGTTGAATGGATGTTGGATGTGCCCAAAAGAGATCTTTCACTATCTCAGTCACTAGTTCACTGTGATGACACTTCACATAACCATACTCATGACTTCTTTTAAACAACTATTGCATCTGTGTACGCCCGACCGTTTCAACTATTCTCAATTTCAATCGAGCATTGTAAATGGTCTTTAGTGTTGAAGCATTACTTGTATCCCTCTTCTTTAGGTGACATAATATGTTACATGGATGAACACCGCTCTTCGACATTCCCTCCAAAATTTCAAGTTCATCATTCGCCAATCTACCAACGTATAAGTGACCCACTAAATATCCTATCAATTTGTGGTTATGAATCCCATTCATCACTTTTAACCCCCACTGTACATCTCTTGGCTTAATTGTACTGCCTTCAATTTAAATGGACATCCATATTTTTTTTGTTGCAGTGCTTCGTTTTTTTGTTTCAACATCTTTTTGTTGGTTATGTCTTAATTTTGGAATTCCAAAATTAAAACATAAAAAGAGGGATGTCCATAAATCATAAATTGTAAAGTTTAGTAGTCTACCTACTTTGGTACTATAGTCATAATACTATAAAGAGGTTACACATATGAACGATATGATTTTGTAGTATAATGTTAGAAATATGTTTTCTATTTGAGGATAAATTATGTAAAATCTCAAAAAAAAAAAAAAAAAAAAAAAACTTAAGCAATCAAAATAATCTCACACGCGCAAAATCTTTCAAAGCCCAAAAAAAAATAAGAAAGAAAATTCAATAAAGTACGAAATCAATAAAACATAAAAAGAAGTCATCCTTAAGAAAAAAATAATGAACAAAGACAATTAGTTTGAATGCATAAATATATTTACGAAACAAACAAAACTAAACAAAAAACTAAACAAAACAAGTAAAAACAACATCCATGCTGAAAAAAGAAAAAAGAAAAGAACGACACAAGAAAAAAAAATAGACCAAAACAAGAAGGAAAAAAAAACCAAGTAAAGATTAAAGGAACAAGCATAACTACAAGACACAAAACCACAAGACGCAAAACCGAACATTAAAAAAAAAAAAAGTATCGAGCACATACACAAAATCAAACAAAAAAAATAACAAGCAAATATGCAAAATCTAAACAAGATAAAAAGAACAAATAATCCAAAAGCATATATATATACACACACACACACAAAAATTCTAAATAAAAAATTATTAAACTTGACAGAGATATCAAAACATACCGAAAATAATTAAAATTCATACAACAAACATAAAATCAAATATAGAATTAAATTGAGAAGTAACACTAACTTGTATCTCACTAGAAAATTTAATATTGAAAAAGTATTTGTGAAACCCTGACATGCATAGCATAACATTTAATTAAATGTATTGGTATAATGGAGAAGATGTATAAATTTTAAGGAAAAGTAGAATTTCCTAAAAAAATTTGGGGAGGTAAGTGTAATTACTTAATATTTTTATGCGAGTTATGCATGAAATGGGATATATTTTTGTATAACACATGTAAGTTTATATTAGATAGGTAGTAAATATTATTTGGGTTTTAATATATATATATATATATATATATATATATATATATATATATATATATATATATATATATAATAAATTATATGATAGATTATGGGTGAGAAGAAGAAATAATAAAACATGGGTAAAACTAGGTGGATAAATGTCCACCACACATGAATTAGTGCTTGATTTTAGCTCCAAAGGATGGATGGATAGCGGATGGTGAGGTTTTTCCATTTTGGTGGGTCATTGTGTAGTTTTTATACGTTGTGTGTATATATAGCTAGATGCGTACAAACAAAACATATATAGTAGTTTTCCTTTGGTCGGCCAACTAGAAACCACCTGGACATTACTTGGTGCATGGCTATAACACCTGTGTGTGTAAGCAAAGCAAGTAATGGGTTTGGTGTCCTTATCATGTTTTTAGTAGGTAAAGACAAGAGAATTGACAAAATAAAGAAAAGAAAAAAAAAAGAGATAGGAAGATCAGAGAATGGGCGATGGAAAGGGAGGTGCAAACTGAGGTCTGAGTGAAGATTCAACGATTAAATTTCTTCCGGTTGTGATGAAAATTGAGTATATTGCTCATATTGTCGTGAATCACAGATTCACTAGTTTCAATTCGGGATATGTATAGTAAATATTTAATAATTTGAGATTTATGTATTTATTATTATCTTAAGTTTTGAGTTGACACTGGAGTAATGATTTAATATGTGTTCAAATGAAAACTTTAATTATTAGTTATAGAAATTATATGGGTATAGTGGTGTCAAGTACAAATATTACATGGTTAATCAAGTAAAAATGAGATTGCTTTGTTTGAAATATTAATTACATGTAGGTATTCATAACCAGTAGATGAGATTAGATAGTTTAAATGCTGCCATGCTAATAAAGCATAAATTTAATTATTGAAATTATGAGGCTGAAATTTAAGTTGTTGAAGTCAACAGATAAAAATAAGAGGGTAAATCTAAGTGTTAAAATTCAATCTGTAAATTAATGTTTGATGCTATATAAAAGCTGAAATAGTTTCCTTAAGTGTTGAAAAATAGTAGTTAGATGAATGGTGGTGTTATTTACATACTATAAAAAAATATTAGAGTGAATTAAAGTAGTTCCTAATGTGATCGAGACATACTAATTTGAAAAGATTAACGAAGTCAAAGTATGATCATTGTATACAATCAAAGTAGAGCATCAAATATATATTCATATGCATCATTTGCATCAATTGAATAATTTTATGTCGATGCTCACTTGCATTTGCACATATGTTAATTATTATGGTCGGAGACTATTACCTCGGTTGCTCATAGGAATCGATTGTAAAACGAGGAGGGGTATCTGTCACAGATAAAGGTGAAGTGTACTGCTTCATAATACTTGGAAATAAAAGTATGTGATATGTCAACTTTATTCTCTTGTATGTGAGAAATCAATTTTGCCGAATTGATTTGAGTTGAGTTGCTTAAACTATGGATCAAATGTGTTTTTATGAAAAGTTTGTGATTTGAGTATTATCCACTATGTCGAGTTGTTAATAGTTTGACATGACTTACATGTTGTTGATTTGGACACTGCACAGTTTTCATGAGATAGCTTGACATTGCTTAAATGTTGTAGATACTCTGACATTGCTTGTATGGTGTTGTTTAACTCGATGCTTATCAAAATATATGTGGATATTTACATATTTTGATATATGGGGATGATTTGTGTTTCAAAGTGAGTTGAGTTCACTTTGGTTGTGATTTGCGAGTTATGAGTATATTTTGGGTAGAATTATATTTGATCCATATTTTTGTTTTATTTCCTTTGATTATGATGTTCAGTACACTCAAGAAAATTATTGATTTCAGAATGCCGAAGTTTAGAGTGAGGTCCATTACTATACATGAGTGTCTGTTTTTTCTGTTGTTTATTGTAAAGGGATAAAATCTCTAATCTTTTATTTTGGTAAAAACATCATTGTGTACTCTGTTATATAGTTTCCTGTTTTAATTGTAGCATTAGGTGGCATTATTGATTTTTAAATATTACAAACGCAGGTATTGTCACATGTTGAGATAAGCTTCCGTATTTTGAAAACCAAAGAGGGTCTCTCAGGATGGGGTGTGACAATATTTTTATGAGTGCATGAGATGATTTAGAGAATGAAACTCTAATTATGACAAAATATAAAATGAGTTTACTTATTAAAGGAGGGTATGTAGTATGGGGTGAGCATAGTTACCAATAGATGGATATAGAATGGGTGAGTTTAGTAGTTTGATAATGATTAAATAAATGAAGTGAGAATGGAGATTTGTGGGGGTGAGAATAGTCCCACTCATCTTTTAATCTTTGTAGAATTTACACACTTATCCCCTGAAAATTGTTTGAAGTTGGGTTTAGTCATTATTGAAGGGTTGCAGTTTTAGGATTCCCACCCCTAAATAGGTTAGTATTGTGGCTAGTAATAGGTGTTTTTTCCCACTATAAATTGGTTGGCAAAGTTAGGCAGATTTCTGGGTAATACGTTTCATTATGGAGTGGGAGTTGCATGGATTATTAGGGTTAATCTTATTTCAAAAGATGGGTAATGCCACACTACCGACGTCAGTACCATGCCTTCATTAATCTCGGTCATCGATTTTGAATTGGATGATCTACAACTATTTCTATTGGTCAGAAAGTGGAGCTACAATACCAAAAAAATATTTTTCAGTACCATAATGCTTCCCTCCCAAAGATGTCTGTAATGACAAATCTACAGACATATGAAGAAAAGTCCGAGGAAGACAATAAGGGGACTCAAAAGACTGCTACCTAAACTTGATTTGTGGCTTCTCCTCCTTATTTGGTGATGCATACACTGTGACAGGTCAGGAAGTAACCATAAAATGAATTTTGGTGTTTAGAAAAAATTCAGAGGCTGCTACAAGGAATAAAGAGGAAGGGACACACATATTCCAGTATCAAACTAAGATAAACCAAATAAGATCGGAAATTGAAATTCATTTCATGCAACTAGAGATAACAATCTTAACTAATTATTCATTAATCCATACAACTTACCCATAAATAAATAGGCTGAGTACTTATATTAATTAATGTCAGTTCTAAATGAATTGGATAATATGATTCATTTTAACTAAATAGGTTAACATTGATTAAAAATGGATATCCATTGGATTGAATATTTATCTTTCTATTAAATACCACCAATAATAAAATCAAATAAATATATTACTACACCAAAAAAAACACACTAATATACTAAAAAACACGTGCAGCAAATACCCCTTTGCCATGTATCTTTACTACTTGAATGGAAATAGGAAATGTACACTTCCAACATCAACCTGAGACGACAATGAAAGATTAAAAACTGCTGAAGTTCCATTATTATAACATATTTCTGTACCATCCAATTTCCTGCTAAAACATGAAAATGTAAATGCTGTCTTCAGCCTTCTCTTTATTCCCAGTTCCTTCCAGCATCATAGATAGTCTAAATGTACTACATTGAGTGCACTATCAATTTCACAAATATCGTAGATTTGGAATGATCACATACACTCAAACAGTTCCTTAACAAGTGCATGTTGGTGGACATCTTCACATGGGCTTCTGAAACTTCCCATGCACCCACACCCTCCGCATGCTCTTCCCATTTCGGCGATTAACAGACTTAACACAACAATATTCAAGCTCAAGCTGCAAAAAGTGCTCAAGTCATTATTGCCCAATGGTCTGATAAACCATGAGATTAGCAAGAAAATTCTGGAAAGAAAACTTGAAAACATACAAAGAAACATTTCCTTTCTTCCAATAAAATTTTAAGGGTCAACAAAGTTTACTTTCTTCCATTTCCTAAATCTACCAGAGATAATAGTCCATTTTGTCCCACTTGTAACTCCAACATTTGAAATACCAAAAGAAAAAAACAAGATTGGGTTCCCAAAGTAAGAAGATTAACTATTAAAAAAAGAAATACCTCGGTAAAGCCAGCACCTATGAAGAGATTCCTCACACTATCTAAACAGAAGAAATAAGATCGGGTTCCATCAGAACGCATGTACTCCCGGAACCCCACTCTTTGTTCTTGTTCAAATCGAAGCATAGTCATGTCATAAAGGCCTAAATATTATAATACAAAATAGATTTCAGCAGATGCTGGAAAGAAAATCAAACCAGTAATAACAAATGAATAAAAAATCAAAAACCAAAATTTCCATGAATTGAAAGTTTCTATATGGACTCCGATCACATTTTGTTGGGCCAGTACCATAATCCCTGAATAAGAGCAGGCCGCCAGGCTTTAAGACAAAGAAGCACTCTGCAATGGCTGCTGGCATCTCAAGGAGTGGTATTGCTGATAGAGTGAATATCTAGCAAATCAAATAAAATAGGATAAAGGTTGATATAATATCATTATGTTTCACTATGTACCACCGTTTACAGTCTCAAAAGAAAGACATGCAATGCCTAGGAATCAACCATAAAAGAACAGTCTATCTACAGTATATATTTTACATCATAAACACAAAATTACACGTCCACATGAAGTGTTAAATTGTGTTCACCGGTCAACGCCTGTATGAGAAAGAAGAACTTGATATACATTCGCAGGTAGAGAGATGAACAAGTTTTGTTTTTCTAACAAAAGTAAAAAAGTAATATATATTTGAGTTGAAGTAGAATTTGTTCAAATTCAATTTGACAGCTAAGGTTGCTTGAAAATCTTATAAAAAAGTCTAGTGTTTTGTAAAGCATTTTCACAGTAACTTGTAGAAGTAGAATGATGTGAAGATAAACCAGGATAAAGAAAAAGAAGGTGGGCGCAGTATCCCGATTAAAATGAAAGCTGGCAGTAAAAATATGCAAAAAGAAAATACAGGTGAACATTTGCTTAGACACTCAATACAACAGCATAAAGCCAACTAAACTAACAAAGGGATATCCCAAAAATGACCCACTGTAACCAATTTGATTTTTGCAAGGAACATCTAAATGGCCTGTAACATACGAACTGAGACTATGGGAAAGGGATCACACTTACCAAGGTAACAAAATCAACCCCACCAATGCAGCAACTAGTTTCCTTCGAGAAAGTTAAATCATTTAAATCTCTTCTTCTATTCTTATTAATATCTGGAGAAGGATGTAACAAGCAAGTGAATATTGTCTTGTAACCAATGATTGCTACGTAAAATAACAAATATACAAAGAAAACATAGGGTTAGAACCTGAAATGCAAGCATGTTGCGTATGTGAAAAAATTTGTCGACAAGTATCACATGCTAACCATTTTGGTACCCCACTTCTAGAAAAATCACATTGGAATGGATGGAAGAGATTTTTAGCAGAGATTCCATCAGCAGCATTAATCATTTCTTTAGCCCACTCAAGGGCCTCGCTGCTGCAATCACAGGCATATACAGTGATGCTCTCATTGGCACTACAGCACAAGAATAGGTGTTGCATAAGGATATCATGGCACTGGAATAAGAATAATACGGTGCAAAATACTGAAACAAAAGTCTCCAGTTGCCATCCAAAGTAAAATAACAATCGAACTTCCTAGGGAATTTGCAGGCTACAATTTCATTCATTTTTTGTGCGGACTTCTTTAACATCATACATTTTTTACCAAAAACAGAAATCCTGTCAAAAACTAAGAAAGAACTCAGAAGATCGACACCCAAAACCTAAGAGGGAATGACGGGCAAGGGGAAAGTGGCTGTTATTTTACATTGGATAGCAAAAGAATGGTTGTTCAATATTTCATCATGATAATCAAAATTGACATCTATTGTTTCACTAAAAACAGGTATCCTGTTATTTAACACCCAAAAGCAAAGAGGGGAAGAGGGGGAAGAAGAAAAAAGAGGAGAATCCAGTGAGCAGATCTCAAAGGCTTTGAGCTGGAATATATCTTGTTGATAACTATAGAGGGTTAACCTTTCACAATCCACAATAAAATATGAAGCTTAGTCTGGAAAACCTTCCTTATCGCTTTACAACCCAACATAACTGCATTAACAGTTAACAGCAACATCAATTGGCACGGGTCAGCCAGAGTACAACCATCAAAACTAAAGAAGTGGGAATAAATAGCAACTGTGGAAGTCAAATACAACCACTGATGCCTGGTTCTTGAACCACAAGTATTTCTCAGAATGAAAGAAAGCTAATTGTGCTGATGGACACATTTGGAGACTGCACTTCATCCTAATAGTGGTACACATCAACAACTCCGTCCAAACCTAAGGGCTAGGTCCCTCCCTATGAAGCACCACTACAGATACAAGTATGATACAATACGGATACGTCGATACTGATAAAATAAAATAAAAAATAGGATACCGCAACAACTATGATACGTCTGTAATAAAATATATTTTATATTTTTACTATTAACTAATGACTTACAAATTATATATTTTAGTAATTCCTTAACAATAATAGGCAAAACTAACAAAAAAAATTGTACTTTAAAATAGTATATATCGTCAAATTATGGTATATTTACAAAGTGAAAGTGACTAATTAAAAAAATCAAAACCAATATTTACTTAGTTGGTATACTTAGAAGTATTTATTGCTAAGGTTAGAGTATAAAAAATTTGACATGTAATAGTAAATAATCCTTAAACACCCTTGTTTCTTTAAAGTCGTATGAATTTCTATTGATATATTGCATTGTATGTGGCTTCGAAAGGAGATGATAAAGATTAAATCTAAAAATTAAATATATTGCCCTAATACAAACATTCCCCTAACTATCCACATATTTTATTATTATTGAATACTTAGGAGGCGTATCCGATATGTATCCTTGAATATCTGACGTGTATTGCCCTATACGGATAAGCCAGCCATAGCAAAGTATCAATGTTTCATAGGTCCCTCCCAACACCTTTCAGCTATGGAGCAAAGCTGCCATATTTATTAGTCTTCCAAAAGAGACACTAATAATAATATCAATAAGTGTCGATAGAACAAAGCGCAATGAAAACACACATCTTGCTTGCCCCGTGGTCAAATGATTAGTGCTAGAACTTGGCACATTAGAAAGGAGTAAAGTCAATCTACTTTATAAAATGTTTTCACACGGGCAAGGGGACCGGAAAATTACAAAAAACATGTACATAGCTAAATACTATAGCACAAATTAAAAACTTTTTCCCATATAAACTTCTTGGAAAGCAAGAAACAATTTTCCCCCTAAAAGGTACGTTGAAGGAGGTGTATTCTGTGAAATGGAAAGTGGAAGTTCTTCACCATCTAGTGCATTAGTTTACCCCAATCTAGTTCCCTATCCACAACATCTACCGATTGATTAGATCATGACAACACTTTACAAGTTATATCATCATTGCCTAACTTTAACAATGTGCGACGTTCTAAAATTTCTCAAGAAAAAATTATGTTTGGATGGATGATTTACAAATTTAAAGGTCATCTTCAATGAAATTACAAACCCCTTAAATATTGTTGTCACAATGCGTCTAAGTATGTTGTTAGGGATTAATACACGGAGAGAAGTTACAGAAGTTATATAGGGTTGCAGGTAGGTTAGGTTGTGAGGTTGATGGGTGGCCTTTGAACTACTTGTGACTATCTACCAGGAATACTTTATCAGTAAGCTTTTGGTACTCTATTATTGAAAGCATTCAAAAGAAATTAGATGGGTGAAAAAGGAATTGCTTATCAAGGTGACGAAGGCTCACATTTGTACAATCTATTTTGGCAAGCATACCTATTTGTTTCTTATCACTTTTTAAGATCCCTAGGAAGATAGCATTTAGAATTGAAAAATTAATGAGGAATTTTTTGCAGTTGGGGGAGGAGAAAGGAGAATAAATCACTTTGTTAGATGGGAGGTGGTGACTTAATCTGGGAGGCTGGGTGTGAAAAATTGGGTGAAGAAAAATAAAACTTTGCTAAGAAAGTGGTTGATGCCTGACAGAGCATGAAGAAATAAGAGATATAAAAGAATAAGAGATACTAAATTCTCGCAAGAATTAAGTCAACAAACATACAAAATTCTCCATAGAGAAACAATTTTTATTATATCACACTCTACAATAAAAATAGTAGGGCTTAAATCCATATATATAAGCTAAGTCCCATACCAAAAAAAATAATAATTCTCCTACTAAAATTCTAAAAGAATTTCAAAATCAAACTCTCAAATTCGTATCATACTAAACATCTATAATAATTCTATAATCAAACTCTCACTAATACTTCTAATCAAATAAATATTCCTAAATTAAATAACACTTTCCTTTGGATTAAAAATTTCTAGTCTTTCTTTTAGGCTTCCAAACTCGATTATATTAGTCCAACCAACCAACCAACGACTGCGCCATCCGTGGTTATGGAGGTTTCTAATAGAATTTGATGTTTTGTTGCATGATGTTATCAAACATAAATATGGACTTCATATTTGCCACAAAGATTCATGTTCAAGTACAAAACCTCCACAACCACATACCTAAAAAAATAGTATTTCTCTTTACTAAAACTTTATTTTTTGATTTAAACACCACCTCCCACCTAACAAGGTAGATTTTTATTCCTTTCACCACTACTCACCCACAAAAAATCTTTCATCATATTTCTCACAAGGAAGCAATCTTCTTAGGAATTTTAAAAAGGGACAAAAAGTAAATGAGATAATATTCAACACATATTGTACTAAGGTAAGGCTCCTTACCTTTGATAAACAAACCAACTTCAATCACCTACAAAAGACTCCCCCAAACAATAGTGCCAAGTACTTCAAAGACAAATTACCTACTTCACAACCTAACTTACTTGAAATTTTAGCTAACTTGTCCTTTTGTGTTTTGATTCCTACCACTAGACCAGTGTTATTTAAGGCGTAAAGCGAACCGAAGCGACCAAGGCTCCTAACGCCTAGGCGAGAAGCGAAGCGACACGCTTTACCAAAGCAAAGCGAACAGTTAAAAAAATATATATTTTAGTTTAATTACTTCTAAACAATCTAAGTTCTAATTTTATATATACTAAATATTTAAATGCAAGTAAAACCATAAACATTTAAATTAAAAAAAATACTAATAATATCTCAAATCTTAATAACAGTCATAACTTAAACATTTAAATTCAAACAAATACTAACAATTGTATACATTTTCATATTGACAGGGTAGGACAACAAAAGAAGCAGAATCAGGACAACAACAGAATTAACAACAAAAAAAAAAGTAGAATGAGGATAAAAAAAAAATAAAAGCAACACAGGACAGCAAAACCGAAGCAGCAACAGAATCAACAAAAAAAATAGAAGCAGAATGAGTTAAAAAAAAAAAACAGAAGCACAATGATCATGACAGGAGCAGAATCAATTGTAAACAATTTCATATGTAATTATATATTGAATAAAAAAAAGCAGAACAGAGGCACATTTCACATGTACTAAAATAATTAAACATGGTATAAGCATAGACCACTTTTTGGTACCATTTGTATATATATAAGAAAAGGAAAAGGTATAACCAAGACATATCAGAGACACTTTTTTGTAGAAGAATCTATTATTTACCCCCATTTCTGATACTCCTGCTTCCTTTTTTTATCATAATTGTCATGCAGTGCAGTCGCCTGACTCCCACATTCCACAAATATTCTAAATGAATTCAGCAACACAAGGAAAAAAAAGGAATGTGTTTTGTTCGAAACATTGTTTATTAAAAAAAAAAAAATAGACCGGTAATAGTCTAAAAAAAAAGTCATTAGTGATTAAAAAATAAAAGAGACTACTAACCTGTAATCAGAAAAAAAAAAAAAAAAAAAAAAAAAAAAAGTTGAAGCAGAATCGCTTTTTATAATAAAGCGTTCGCTTTTTCGCTTTTTTCGCTTCTTCGCTTTTTCACTTTTTCTCGCTTCGCCTGGGGTCCTCCAGGCGAGATAAGCTCGCCTCGCCTCGCTTCTCACCTAGGCAAGCGCCTAGGCGAGCTTTTCAAAACACTGCACTAGACTCTTTGACATATTCACTTTCAACCTTGACACCAAACTGGAACTCAGTAACTTCCACTAAATTTTAAAATTTTACCTCGTCCTCAAACAAAAAAAAAAAAAAAATAGACATATCATCCGTAAACTCTAAATGTGAAATGTTCACTAGGTCCCTTCCCACCCTCAAACCTTTAACTAAATTATAATCCCTTGTTCTATCCATTGACCGACTAAGCCCATCTATGATTAAAATGAAAAAAAAAAAAAAGAGGTGACAATGGATCTCCTCGTCTAATAACTTTAGAAACATTAAATCTCCTACGCGGTTTATCATTAACCACCACTAAAAAATTCATTGAACTTAAATATCCCTGATCCAACCCCAAGATCTACTCCCCAAATCTTTAACGTCTAAAACAAGGTCTAACCAATTCCAATTCACATGATCCTATGCCTTTTCAAAATCAATATTACAAAGCATATCTTCTTTCCAATTAGAGTTATACCCTATTGCCACTTCATTTGTAATCGAGACAATGTCTAAGATTTGTCTTCCTCAGACAAATGATCCAGATATTTAGAAATACTCTTCCCAGAACCTCCCTCAATCTACTTGACAAGACCTTAAGTAAAATCTTACAAGAAAACCAATCACTAAGCTAATAGGCCTAAAATCATTTATCTTTAATGAATTATTCTTTTTAGAAATCAAACAAATATATGTGACACTAATGTTAACATTTACCACCCCATATTAAAGAATCCCCTAAACACCTTCATCAAATCATCTTTAAAGGTCTTCCAACAGTCCTTGAGCATAGCCATTGAAAAACCATCCTAACTCGAAGACTGGATAAAATAATAATTCATGAGTTACTCGAAGAAATCAAAATCAAACTAGGTGCACCACTAAATGAAAATTAAGATAAAGCAAGTCATGGGTTACCGTAATATAGGTAGAGCAGTACTGCCATTACCACATCCCACCTCCAAAACCTTACGATATTCATTAGAAGAAGCTAGTTCTGGAAATTCTTTCAACAAATACCGTCTCTCCTGCATCCAACTTTCAACCTTAACCATTGTGATATACAAAAGCTTGAATAAGGTGAAAAGGGTAAATCAATTAAAAAACATGAACAATGCTACGGATTTCTCAGCATTCCACAAGCAAGCCAAACCCAAAGTTCTCTAATCTTGATTATGACTTAGATATATGCATCAAAATTGAAACATATGCAAACAAACAATACCTGAAGAGAATTATAACCCCGTTTTTTAGGTTGATGAATAAGAAAGCAACATTAATAAAGCAATGGGCATGTCAGGGCAAAACTTGCATTTTCACTTGAGAGCTATAAGTTGATCACACAATACACCAGATGCGCTTCTCCAATAAAGACAACTACTCAAATTCAGAAACTTAAAAATTTAACTTGTTTACCACTCAGCTAAACAATCAATGTGGCCCAAATTCATAACATGCCTCACAAATAAAACATATTGCTCACTATGATGGCCCATTCCATAAAATTCGAGAAATTTTAGAGATACCCTAGTCATGGAAAGCATTCTTAATCTCTATAAAATTAAACTAGGAAAATAAAACTCAAAATATATATAAACAACTTGGGAAAATATCATGCAAAATAAGACTACATGTCGGCCTTTGGAATTTATTGTAATGTTTTGAAGTCAAGGGCATTTCTGAAATTTCTAGAATTTTCCAGAATGGGCTGCAACAGTGATCCATGGGTATGCTTTTGGGTCATATTAGCTGTTTAGTTAAATAAGACTAGTAAGATCTTTTATAGGAGTAGGCAATCATTTAGAGACTACATATATACATGTATTTCTTTCGCCATGAATATAGATGTTTCTAAAGAAATTTTTACAGCTTTTGAATTCTCTTTTGGTGTGCGATGGAACCCTAATGTAAGGTGTGATGCCTAAGGGATTCTAGATGTGATTCCTAGTTTTCTTCCTCCTCTCTTTCTTTCTTTCTCAGTCTTTGCAACTAACTATCAGCAAACTGGCCTATATAAGCCTCTTTGGATTGTAAGAAATGCTATTCAGCAAATCCAGCCCTTTCTTTCAATAAAACTTCAAGCCCAGCCCTTTTGAAACTCTAACTAATAAGTTCTACTATTTTCGATTTACTGTTCATAGCCCCTGAACAACCTTTCCATGTACCACCAAAACCCCTTTTTCCTAATCCCCGATGCTCACCAAACCTAACCCCAACAGCTAATAGGTTACATAATCTATGGCATCATAGGACTTCTCGGATTCAAGCCTTGAAACCACTGTAAAATTAGAATCTAAATTCTCATTCACTAAAGAGATGTACATAAGATCATGCTCCCTCTCAAGCCATGTCAACTTAGATGGGACTTCTCCAACTCAACCCTGGACATTCCTCAACATAGTCTACATTCAAAAAATAATAATAAACTTAAGATTCCACTTTCTCACAAATAGAATTCCATCAATCAGAGCAAGTCTATTAGTTAAAACTTTGGCAATTATCTACTTTACACTTCCAGCAAATAGATTTTTAATTTAGACTCCTTAGAAACCTCACAACTCAGCAACAATTGGGAACTTGACATCCATTCACTGCCCCATTCACACCCAATGTGTCATCCCAAATAAATTTCTGATGATCATGAGAAATTTTCTTCTCCATATTCTCTTGTCAACTGCCCATGCCATCCATAAACAGACACTTTGCCCAATGAAACAATTAGCCTTCTTCGCACATCTTTATGACAAATGTTCCAAACACCCCTCCCACACAATAATCCCTTGGACTTCCCATTCATCCTCTATTTTGTTGAATACAGTAATTCAAATTCATTGTCAGAAAGTGAAAAAAGCAAGCAATGTATACATCTACATGTTTTTATTCGTGATTACCTTGAAGAATTTGCCAGTGCAGTGACGAGTGTGAAACTGGCTCCATGCTTCTGAATCTTCTTGCCAGAATGGTGATGAACAAGGGATACCATTCTGATTGTCAAAAGCAAGGAAATGATATTCTAGAGATGGGTCATTCTCGATCTCTTGCCTGAGTTGGTCCCAGTCAAAATCCTTGGAATAGTATTTTGTTTCCTTGCTCATTCTTCTTCCACAGTTCTGTACTTTCAATGGAATGACGAATGTTATATGTAGTGACTAGTTCTTTTATGGCTGGGGAACTTTGTGTTCAAAACCCTACACTGCAAAAAAACCAAAAAGTATAGCTGATTATGAACAATTTGGGATCGATCCGGATAAAAACTTGTTCTAGTTTATTCATTTAATAAATGAGTCAAGCCTAAGCAATGGTTTGTTTGACTCGTCTATGCTTCTCCACATAAAAATACATGTTACATATGTTGGTCCATACACAAACTGTAAAGTCATTCTACAACAAAATAAAGGCGTGGCTTCCAAGTAGAAATGTTCTTATTGTGGAGCTACTGGACATAATGAGGCTTATTGTTGAAATAATAAACATGGAAAACCAGCTCATTTTGATCAGGTTTCTAATGATCTGACTCCTTCTGTATCTCAACCATCGACTGGTGGGTCTACTACATCTACGTCTGGCTCTCATGATGATCTTACCTTTTAGCTTAGTCATCTCATCCAGAAATTTTTTTCATTCTCTTCTCATTACTTCAGCTACCAATTTAGCAACTACCGGTAATTTTGCACATGTAGCGGCACAATCCGCTTCACCATCTTGGATTATTGATTCAGGAGTTAGTGCCCAAATATCTGGAATTTCCTCATTGTTAATTTAGAAGCTAGTGCCCAAATGTCTAGTATTTCCTCATTGTTTTCTAATTTTTGATCATCTAACTCTCATATTGTTTTAGATAAGGGTTCGTATAGGTACAACTCTTATTTGAACAAAGTGAAAAAAAATGCGATCTTTATTGTCTAATAGAACAAACATTAATACCTTAATTGAGTCGGTCAAGATAAAATATGCTTCTCCGATTGCTCAAGGTAACTCTTTTTAACTGAGGAACAAAACAAGATCATTTTGTTCCATTTTTAGTAAAATAGTGAAGGATATTTCCATTAGTAATGAAAAAAGGGGTTAAGGGGATCTGTATTTGTTGCTCATGTCAATCAGAAGGTGCAAAAATACTAGAACTGAATGCAGAAAGTATGGAAAAACATCTCGTAATGTATTTCACCAAAAAATCAATTATGCTCCTATCGAAGTATCTACTCGTTACAAAATCTCAGGTGTCAAAGTGTGGATTTCATATAGTCAAAATAAAAAGGGATGTGCTATATCTGAAACATAATAAATATCGTAAAAGCTGGTGTAGTAGGGGCAACAAACCGGACGGTAAACAACTTGGTTTTGGAAGATATGGCACTCAAAGTTGTAAAGCTGGTTGTCTTTCATATCGAGTCATTGAAGTAGTGCGTCGGGCTATAATTGAATAATTCAATCGTGTTATGAGCGAAAAATTCTAAAAAAATGATAAGATATAGGTAAGAGTTTTTTTTTTCAGTGCCGATGTCATCTTTTTTCAGTCATCTTTTTTTTTCAATTTAGGAATTACTCTTTCTCCAAATTGGATCTCTACTAGTTAAGGGGAACTCATATTGCCTTTTGTACCAGATGGTGTACCTTCTCCCTCTCCGACTTTAGACCCTCCATTGCAGGTTTCCTGTCTTTTCATAGATAAACAGATTGTTTCATATGCTTTAGCTCCTTGGCCTACTCCTGATTCTACTGAGATCCTTCCTCTTGATTTATCTGATTTGCCTATTACATTGTGGTTCAATTTCTAATTTTATCTCTTTGCACCAGTTTTCCTCGTCTTTTCGTTGTTTTGCATCTGTTTTATCTTTTGTCTTTGTTCTTATTCTTAATTCTTTGAAACAGGCATTAACATTTCTGGGATGGAAATTGGCTATGGATAAAAAAATTATGACACTTGGGGAAAATCATGCTTGGGACCTCAATTCTCTTCGGTAAGTAGCCTATTAGTTGTCGTTAAGTGTACACTGTAAACTACCATCCTAAAGGTTTTGTTGAGCAGTTGAAGGTACAGTTGGTTTCTAAAGGTTACATTCAAACATACAGTGTAAATTATTGTGGCACTTTCTCTCATGTTGCCCGTCTTAACTTTGTTAAAGTTCTTATTTATGTTTCATTTCTAACTGACCCTTGTATCAACTGAACATAAAGAATTCATTCTCACAACGAGATTTACAAGAGGAGGTATGTTTGATCCAACCTCCAAGTTATGTTATTCAAGCCAAGAATAATTAGCGGGGGCGTTTGAAGAAGGCACTATATGGCTTGAAACAATCACCGTGTACTTGGTTTAATAAGTTCAATATCGTAGTGCCTCAATTTGATTTTTAGTACTCCACCTCAAATTATGCAGTGTTCATTTGTCATTTTTTCCGGAGGCATTATTATTGTTATTGTGTATGTCGATGACATCATCATCAGTGAAAATGACTCAAATGATAGTGTTAACTTTAAGGCCCATCGGAAAAAACAGTTTCATCATACCAAAGATTTAAGTTTTCTTCAATACTTTCTAGAGATTGAGGTTATCCAATCAAAGAAATGTATCAGTTTGTGCCAATGGATGTATTTACTAGACTTACTATCTGAAACCGGAATTCTTAATGCGCATTCGATTGATACGCCTATAGACCCTATAGTTACGCTAGATCCAGCGAGTGGTAAAGTTTTTGATCATAAAGGACGATACCAACTGTTTGTTAGTAAACTGATATTACATTTGTTGTTGATGTGGTTAGTCAGTTCAAGTATGCCCCTTGTAATCCTCACGGGGAGGTTGTCTATCGCGTTGATTAGGCAAATAGTCATGGTAATAGACGATCTACTTCTGGCTATTGCACATTTTTTGGTGATAATCTTGTTACTTAGTACAGTAAGAAGCAAAATGTGATTGCACATTTTAGTGCAGAGGCTGAGTATCGTGCTATGCACATATTGTTTGTAAGATATTATTGGTTCATTCTTTACTTCGTGATATGGGATTTGATGTGTCTTCCCCTATGAAGAGGCACTATGACAATCGTGCAACTATTTTTATCACAAGTGATTCGATATTTCATGAACATGCCAAACACATTGAGTTGGATTGTCATTTCATTCGAGATCTCTTGATGTGAAAGGAGATCATCAATCCATATATCAAGCCTAGTGATCAGCTATGTGACATTTTTACCAAGCCATTGGCTTGGTATACTTTTAGTAGTTTATGTTCCAAACTGAGATTTTTTATCTTTATGCTCTTGAGGGGAGTGTTAGGTTTCTTATTGCCTATATTAGACATAAGTTAATTAGTGTAGGGTAATTCTGTAATTACTTTAATATCACTTGGTTATAAGTAAGAGACTATAGGGTAACCTAACCTACACACTTGATTATTACTCTCAATCTCTTTCGTCTCTCACTTCTCCCTTTTATTTTTCTTACACATCCAACTCATACTAAATATGTCAAGGCACATTTAATCTCCACATTCTTCTCCCAAAAATGAATTATATGGTGGGTATTGAAAAGCAACTCTTATTTCTAAGTACCTTATAATAAACTCACTTTTCAAGAAAACTATGCCTTCAAATATCAAAAATTTCTCCAGCTATTTGCAATGATTCGACAAATTGACATCAATGTTATCAAAACCAAACCGGACATCGAACCGGCAGAGGGACTGGGTCAATAGTTTACTGCTTCAACCATTGAGTCAACTGATCGGACCGATCTTATAATAAAAAAATAAAATATAATAATTTTACTAAAAAATTTATAATTACAATAAAAAAAAATAGTGTAATTGGTGTGTGGCGTACTAAAGTGTGATGTGTGCTTTGATTATTATATAAATTGTCTATAACTGTGTTTGCGCGCGCGTGTAGACCAAGAGAGAGAGAGAGTGAGGCAATACCTAGCAAAAACCCACCCCACCAACTGAGTGTGTGCGTGGAGAGAGAGAGAGAGAAAGAGAGAGGAGAAGAAAAAACCCACCTATTGTGAGACAATACCCACCACCCCACCAATTGAGGCAATACCCACCAACTATGTGTGTGTCTGCGTGGAGAGAGAGAGAGAAAGGAGAAGAAAAATCTGAATTTCAAGACTTCGAAATCTAGTGTTTGAGATGATCTAGATCTGTGACGAATCTAAGCCTCCTTGCCTGAGAAGTCGCTGGTGCCTTCAAACTGTTTAATTTTTTAAAACCGGCCAGTTCACGGTAATTTACAAAAATAAGCCGATTTTCCGGTTTTTAGCTGGTTCTCTTCCTTATGTGGTCCAATTAACGAACCGGACCGGTTAAGGTCCCGGTCCGACCGGCTGATCCTGTCCGATTCTTATAACACTGATTGACACTAACACATGGTATGCATAACATAACCATTGATATTATGACAAAGCCTCAATTTCACGTTTTGCCCCTCAATCGAAAGGGAATTACAAGTGAGCCCTTAAATTGGACTCTACACATAAGACAAACTCACTTTAGCACATGTCAGAGGTCGTGTTTGCATTCTCATAAACCAAGTCATGCTCCTAGAGACATGTCCAAGGCTATGTTCGTATTCTCCTAACAATCTGGTCATATCTAATCAGACCATCAATAATCTACTAACATATGAGCTTTGTAGCCAACCCACACAAAAATCACGCAAAAGATCCCAAAACCCATTTCAAGTTCAATGCTTGTACCATAGATCAACACTAGAGAATAATCTTCCTGGTCTCTTGGCCATATAGTAGTTCCACTTTCATACAAACTATTAGATGCAACCGAAGGAAATATTCACATTACGAATAGATATTGCATAGTCCAAGAAAAAAATCCTAAATGAAACTTGCACAAGTCTTGCCCTAATTATGGATTTCTTTAGTCGACGATGTCAGCTATAACCTCTTCAAATATGCATGGATTGAAAGAGTCTGGGTATTGGGATGTTGCACACACAAGGAAAAATAAAGATTGGGCATTGCAATACCACTACAATACCAAGCCCTACCTCTTATACAGACGGAGATTGGAACAACTAGATGTGTTTGAGGATAGAGCCATGGCTACCATAATGCATGATCTAGTATCATGGACAGAGCCATGTTGTGGCAAAGGGGGCCATGCCCCCAAGTGTTTAGAATTTTTCTTTATACCCTTAAACTATGTTAGCCCACTCATAAAATTAATTTTCTCATTCCATGTGACATGGCCCTCTCAAATTTTCAAAGGTATACTTTACATCCTTGAATTAAGGTTTTAATTTTCATTTATCTATCAAATATCTATGCAACATATTTTATCAGTATTGTTTAAAACAATCCCGTAGATTATATTTGCCCAAAAGTAAATTTAACGCTTTGTAGGACAAATTGAAATGAAGATAATAGTTTAAACGGACATAATAAAATTTACCCAATCCTACACATAAAGAGTCCGAAGCCGTATAAACTATGTATTTGGAAGATCTATAAACTCACTATTTCATTTTGTTTTTGTTTTTCGTAATTTTTAGAGACATGATGAAATTTAGTTCTCCTTCAATGATTTGTGATGAAATTGAACTTAAACTATTAATTGTATGAGGAATTGATCAAAGAGTGTTTTGCATCTAACTAACTAGACAAGTTTGAATAAAATTTCTCTATTTTATTGAAACTAAAATAATATCAACCAAGCTGAACTACTAAACTACATTCATGAAACAAAGTTCAATTAGTTCTAGCTCTCAATTAGCAATGCTGGGTAGAGGCCCATGACTTGTGATAATATTTTCTTTTTTTGCAGCACAATGCCATATATCTACAAAAAAATACATTGCAATTCATATAACTTTGGTTTTGCATGAAATTAAACTATTAGAAAAAAAACAGAGTAAGTGTCACTATATTGCACGAGGAACAAAAATATATTCTCACTATTGTCGAAAAGGCGATTGTCCATCAAAACCTTATCATGAATAATCATACCAAACTACAATATCTTGCATAATATCCTTATGGATGGATGCAAATGCACCTTGAGATGTAATAGCTGAAAGTATTTAAGGCAACATTCACATTAAAGAATATAAATTTACCTTCAACCTTGCACAACCAATTATTCTTGTTTCTACAGTGACAACATCCTGGCTGTGGACAACCTGAAATGAGATTTTTAGCAATGGTCATCAAAAGTGAGATCCATTTCCATGAACGAAACAAAAAAGAGTTGGAAAGTAGGTGGTAGCTATTAGCTAACTCTATGACGCCCAGCTATCCCGGAATAATTTCAGGTTTGTGCTCAACATCGGCCAAAGCTTCTTGAGTCCATCAACTAATGACTCATTTCTAATAGCAACTGAATTTTGAATGTCTTGATCTGCATGATAAATATGATGATAAACTTCCAAAACTCTGAATGAACACCTGGTCAGTAAGAAGAGCGACAATTGAAGCTGTTGCAAGTGCCACAACTCTTAACTTGTCTCGATTCTCAGCAACTATGTCCAATGTTTGCACAACACCAACATAAACTTGAAAGGAATAGAAGAAATACATAAATGCAAAGCAAAGGCATGGCATTAGTTTGACCAAAAAGCAAAGAAAGGGTCGATCCGTCACTAACCGATAGAAAGAAGAAAGGAAAAAACTAAGGAATTGCAAAGCAAATTTAGGTAAAAATGAAGCACTTTCATCATCCATCAGGTCGAAGCCATGAAAATTGAGTAATTTGAATATCGAAATAGAAACCAATGAAAGACCATGCAAAATCAAGAGTAGCTAGGCATAATTAGCTTCTTTAGAAAAGGTTAATCAATCAATAGCTTGTAGAAAAGTGCAACCGAAGAAAAAAATTAAACTTATTTCAAATCCACTTCACAGCACCAATTCTTTACGTGAGTTTCAATAAAGCCGGTGGATCTAAGAGTTGAGATATGCTTTGGATTATACACAAGGAATGCAAATACAACAAAAGCATCATCCTACTGAAAACTTAATTTGCCAAATGAAAATAAAATAAAATGACTAGTACTATTCAATGGAAATAGAATTCTTCCATTCCCCATGAGCATGGCCCGCCATTCCACCTTGAGGTCCCCACCACAATGACATGCCAAAAAAGACTAATACAACTTTAGATTCTGTCCAAAAGTATCTAAAAAACGTGACCTGCCATGGCCCATTTTTTCCTTTGTCGGCCTTATGCTTCCACTCTTCTATGCTTGTCAAAATCTTGTACAGAATACATGGATACTGCAGTCGCAACTTCGCGCCAGAATGCCACTTCGGCATGAAAACAACCTCAAATTAACCCCTTAATCAATTTGATTTCAAACAACTACCTAAATCCTACTGCTTCACCTATATTTGCTTTCCAAGCCAAATCTTTCCGAGATTGCAGTTAACGACATCCCCCAACCCTAATTCTCTGAATACAAAAAAAGTATCATACAACCTAAGAAACAAACGTTCAAGCAAAATTCATCAAACAAAAACATCAATTCAACCTATTACACCCACTAAAATCCATGTCAATTACAATAGTTGTCAAATCGCGTATCAGAATGCGTATCGTTTTTTAAAAATAATGTATCGTATAATATCGTGTATCGTAAGATAAATGCAATTTTAATTTTTAAATAATTATTAATAATATATATACCTTTGTAAAAAAATCATAAACTCATAATAATATAACATTTCATTAATACTCCACCAACTATTTAACTTCCCAACATAGTTCAGTAATATCAAAATTCAAAAATTTTTAATTCAAGCTTCTAACATTAACTGCTTGAACAACTTTAATATTAATCAGGAATTTTGAACTCAATTGAAAATTATTAACAGACTTTATATTATTTTTTTAAATCACAACCACTGAAACGACATTGTTTCACTGGCTAGTGATTTAAATATAAGTTTTAGGATAAAATGATGTCATTTCAGCCCCAAAAACCAAAAAAAAAAAAATATCACGTATCGTACGTATTATATCGTGTATCGTACGATACGGTGTAAAAATGATATAAAGACACGATACGTATCATTTTTCAGGTGTATCATGACGTATCATGTATCTACGATATTAATAACTATGTCAATTAATAGAAAAATCAAAATAAATCCAATGAAAACAAAATCGAAGAAACAAAATACTTGAAGGAGATTGGTGGGTAATTCGGAAAAAGAAGTAACGTACAGAGAGGAAAACATTAAGGCTAAACCCTAATTTAGAGGGAGATAGAGAAAGAGTTCCTTGAGCGAGAGTGGTGGGCTAAGGATGGCGTTTGTAGCAGTCGATGGTTGCGTTGGAGGCACCGAATGCTATGGTAGCCGTTGTAGGTGGTTGGTAGCATAGGTGGATGCGGTGGTTGGTAGACGTCGCTGGTGATTTGTGGCATTGGTGAATGGTTGTAGCGAATAGAGAAATGGGGGAGAGAGAGGATGAAGAAAATGAGTGTGGATTTAGGGCTTGAGTCTAGCTTCAGTAAAGGTACTGCAATTGTTAGGGGTTGTGAGTGATTTACTTGCTAAGAAGATAGACTAATTTAAGTGGATTTTGTGTATGATTTAGAGAGAGGCGCTGATTTAGGTGGACTCTGACGTGATTTACTAGCTAATTTAGGGGTACATAAAGGAAATACAGAAGGCTGAGAGTCTGGCGTGAGTAGGACTCTCGCGTGAGTGGACTAGACCGGGTGAACATGGGCGTTGAGGGTGTGGCCAGGTTTGAGCGCATGCTTCAAAAAAAGGTTATGGTTAAGGAATGTTTTGGGCGGGAAAAAGAAAATTAAGAGTGATTTTTCAGCCACAGCAAAATAGACAAAATTTTGAGACAATCTCAATCACTAAAAGCAAAAGATAAACTTATGTCTTAGAAATATTTGAAATTCTTTGTCCCCTATTATATAGATATAGATAGATGGATAGATTTTAGAACTTATATTGTACTTCTTTGTCCTTTGAATCCTATACTTTTTGCCAAAAATCCTCAACTCAGGATGTCAAAATATGACACAATCCATTAACACACATCAGAAAATAAAAGGTTTAAGTCTTCCTTAAACCATCTATTTCGTAAACAAGTGGACACGACGCGTAAACAAGTGGACACATGACACAATTAATAAACAAATAGGATATGGGTAAACCCAATCAAAAAAAAATATACGATACGAATCATGTATCTACCTACTATACACAATTATACACGATTCATACAAGATAAGAACCTGATATGATCCTATTCTTTAGACAACAATTAATAACCGAATCAGGTATGGGTGTGAACCGCTAAGAAACAATTGACAGGCCTAACTCATGGTACTGCCCCAACCCGAGCCGGGCACTATCATTATCCAAATTCCCTAACTTGGGTTCACTGCCAAAAGCACCACAGTTTACTTCATTTTCGTAGCACACACAAACAGGAACTCATGCGACGCTAACACAAATATGCATATCAGATAAAATTCGAAAATTTTCAAATTCAACAGCAAAACAATCTGCGACTTCATTAATTTTACAAAAACAAATGCAAAAACAAGAAAAAAAAATGGGCGGCTCAGTAAAATCACCGACCTGTAAAATGTAAATTCAAAGGAAACTTTAGAAAACAACCCACCATCAGAGGTCAACATCTTTTCATCCTCTTTGATAAGCGTAGGAGGACTGAAAGCCAAAACTTCAACAGCATTGCAAGAATGTCTGAGATGGAGAGGTGAGACCCAATAGGTGGTAGGTACTCAATAGGAGCAGAACAGTTTGTCGACGAAGAGGGAGGAGGGGAGAAATCAAAGAGAGAGAGAGAGAGAGTGCAACGCATCTGAGGAAGGGACGAGAGTACGGCACAAAATTTTTTTGAGACTGATGGCGGCTTAAACCACAATCGAACAGCCCAGATTGAACCTGATTGCATATGACCCCAAAAACAAAAAAAAACCAAAAACCTGATCATATGAATTTGGGCGGATCCGGGTTAAACCCAGGTCGCCCTACACTCCTATTAGTGGAACTTAAATTGGGTAATGTTTTAAAAGAAGCAAATAATTTAAGAGAGAATAATGGACAATATTATGAGTAGAGATGACAATCTTAACTCATTACTCATTAATTTATCTAATCCGTCTATAAATAAATGGGTTAAGTACCTATATTAATTAATATGAGTTCCAAATAGTTTGGGTAATATGATTCATTTTAATTAAACGGATTAATATGGATTATAAATGGGTATTCATTGAGTTGAATATATATTTTTTTATTATATAACACAAATAATAAAATTAAATAAATATACTAATATACCAAAAAATACTCACACTATTACACTAAAAAATATACACATATATACTAACACACTAAACCATACACACACTAGCACATAAAAAACATACACACTAATACACCACCCAAGACATACGGGTGGGCCCATGACCCACAAGTCGACCCATGACCCATGTACATGACCCTAGGGTGGACTCACAACCCGTGTCCCATGACCCGCGGGTCAACCCACGATCCATGCCCCATAATCGCGTCTTGACCCATAATCCACGGACTAACCCATAGCCCACAGCGACCCCAGCCCATTATGTGTATTTTTTTTTATTAAATGTGTTTTAGTTTTAGTGTTAGTCTACGCGTGTGTGTATTTTTTGTGTATTAGTGTGTATTTTAGTGTATTAATATGTATATTTTTAGTGTATTAATTTGTGTGTGTTATGGTGTATTAGTGTGTGTATGTTTGTATTTTAGTGTACTACTAATGTGTTTATTAAAAATTTTAATTATTTTATGGGTTAATGAGTTTAACTCAAACTGTTATAAACTCAATCCATTATAACTCATTTATTATATGAGTGAAAAATGGATTGAATTTATTTTAGCTCAACCCAATTTAACCCTACCCATAACCAACTCAATTCATTCCTTTGCCACCTCTAATTATGAGAATAGGGAGGAAGAACTTTTTTTTTCTTCTGTGTATTTCATTCAATTTCCAAATGTTTTTTTATAAGCAAATTCTATACAAAGAAAACGGTTGCCTAGTTGGGTGACAATGGATTGAATGGGATTAATGATGGTGGGGATGGTGGTGGTCATCCATCATGTAAAATTATTTATAATACTTCTCCTTGGATAACTACTATACTTAGATAGTGTTAGATTTATGAATATTGTATTATTAGAAACTTGCTAGTAAAACTCAATGGGATGAATCCTAAATGAAGGAAAAAGAGTACAATGTGCAAATTGTCTTGTTGGGATCCTAAGCACTACCATTAAAAACCTTGTTAAGTAAAAGCTCAATGGAAAAAGACTTCAGCGTAGGAAAAAAGAATGCAGGTCTCCCCCTGTTGAATACATTTAGTCAAAATGACGATTGTTCAGCCTAATAGATCTGTGAGACCCTGCATTCTGATTTGTTTAACCAATTTTTGAAATGTTATCAATGGAAGTAATTTAGTGAACAAATCTACTAGATTTTCAATTGAACCAATTTGTTAAACATTAATATCATCATTTTTCTCTAGCTCATGGGTGTAACGGAACTTTGGTGAGATATGCTTTATTCTGTCATCTTTGATATATCTTTCCATAGTTGTGCGATATAAACTGTATTGTCATTGTATAATATTGTTGGAATGCCTTTTGTTAGATCACATTTTGTAATTGACTAATTTCATGAAGTCCAT